TCTCATCCAAGATCCAAGGGCGGCCATGGAGGAGTGGGGACTGCTGAGCCCCAAGCCTGAGCTCTGGTCTCCGCCCTGCCCTTGGGCAAGTCACTGAACCTCTCTGTGCCTCAGTCACCTTTGCTGCAAAATGGATCTATAAGATGGTGCCTGGCAACTCGCTCCAGGGGCAGAGCTGACGAGTGAAGGGGGTAAATGTGCCAAGGCCTGGTCAGCCAGGGAGAGGAGGTGCTGAGAACAGGCAGGAGTAGAGAGAGCTGGGGAAGGCCAGGCGGCCACCCTCCGGCCCAGCGCCTGCTCTGGAATGGCCCTGGGCAGCCCAGCAGGCCCGTGGTGCCAGGTGAGAAGCTTCTTGTCACGTCCCACAGCCAGGCCCCAGCTGGTACCTCCCGGCTGGCTGCTGCTTGGCCCATCTTCCTCCAAAATCTGCAGCCACTGCTTCCCACCTGGTGCCCAACCTTCCCCTGCCCCAAACCTCTCACTCAGCCCCAGTCCCGAGTGCAGATATCAGGACTTCTCTAGCCTCCTCCGACAGGTTAGGTGCACAGGAGGGGTTTCACGGCACGGCTCCGTGATTAGCCGGGGTACCCGCAAGCTTTATTACACGGAGCTCCCCATTTCCTGACAGCGGTAACAACCTGCCACTTCTACAGCGTGAACTACATGTCAGGCTCTTCTAAGCACTTTATATGTAGGTTAAGTCACTGAATCTTCTAGCAGCCCTCTGAGGCAAGTACTGTCATCACTCCCACTACAGATGAGCAAACGGAGGCCCAGAGAGGTTAAGTCACCTGCCAAAAATCACACGGCTGAGGTGAGAGAGCCAGGATATGGACCCAGGCCATCTGCCTCTGAACTCTGTGCTTTCCTCTCTCCCTATCATAAATCTCCGTGCCCAGAAATCCTGAACACTGTTGAAGCCTTTGGATTTCTAAAATTTCCAAACAGCTAAAGAGTTATGTTTTGTTTAAATAACCATAATTCTCAATTTTAACTTTGAAATGGAAATATTTCCAAGATGATTCATCTCTTTCTTGCCATTTTAAACAGAGTATGCTACGTGTTATTAACCTTTTAGAACGTGGTCATTCCAGTGATGGTTTCCAACCTGTGGAGGCCATGCAAAGCTGCATTTGTTAGAGACATAGAAGAACCGAGGCTCTGACCAGAGACTGGTTGAGACTAAGCATGAGCTCAAAAGTGAAGGCAGTAAGGCATCTATGTGGGCTGTGTGTGGCTGCAAGGCCAGAACCACATCCTGCTTCTCTGGGACAGGTGAGGTTGCCAGGTAACCCAGTTCAGGAGCAAGTCTCTGGACCCTCACTCTCCTCCTTGTTCCTTCCAAAGACCCCTTTGACCACCAAAGCAACCCTCTGAGCGTCTGACCTCCTGGGTCCTTGGTCCCCATCCTGCATCATCGACCCTCAACCTCCCACCCTCAGCCTCTCCTTCCTGGACCACTGTCTCCCAGGAAAAGTGCCTGCTGACGGCGCATTCAGAACCCACGCAAGCATGCTCCCTCACCCATCTCCAGGGGTCCCTGCTGCTGAATCCCCCAAGCTTACCCCATCTCCAGCCATGCCATGTTCTCACTGGTTCATACTCTGAATGCGTCCCTTGATGGTCCCCAGCTAGATGTGAGTCCCCTCCGGGCAGAAATCAGCTTGAAGGCCTAATCTAAGCCACACCTCCTCCAGGACTCCCACCCAGATTCTCCCCATACCTTCTCTCTTCCAGTGCTCCCTAAGTCTACAATCTGTGGTCTGAGGCTCTTTCTCCTTTCGCTCTGAGCCCTCCTGCCCCTCCCTCAGCACTGCCTTCCTTCTTCCTTCCATCCCATTCTTCAGGCTTCCCTCACTGTCCCACCCCATGTAGCCACCTGCCTTGAACCTGGGACCCTCACTTCAAGTTCAACAAGATGCTTTATGTGGATGTTATATCTATTCAACTTAAAGTCTCAAAGAGCCTTCAAGGTCAGAGCCCACAGGCTCATCCCATCAGTATGGTGTGTCATTGAACTTCACAGGAATGGCTCTCACAGCCCCAGCTTAGCCCCCTGCCCCTCACCCGTCCAGAGGGAGCACACACATTGTCTTCCATCCCCAAGCCCTTCCTGCATTTCCTCATCCACAGATGGTACAGCATCCAGATGGCATCACCAGCAGGACTGTAAGATCAATCTGGTCCCACCCAGCCTTCTGAGAAATGGTGAAGCAGGGCTCCAGACATAGGAGGTGATTATTCTGGCCACACTGCAGCCCTGGGCAGAGCCAGGATTGGAGCAGCCCCGAGGGTAACCTCAACCCATCTGTGGAGCTGAGAGCCTCCAGGAATTCAGGCATCTGTTGGTTTTCAGGCTCGGCTCAAAGACAAGGTCCTGGAAGGAGGTCTCTCCCACAACCAGTGTGTACAAGTATGTCAGTGACATTCACGGGGGGTGGTAACCATGACAGAAAGGGCCAACCACTGTCATGGCTGGAGGAACACAGCCTTCTTTCTCACCTGTGCTTCATGTAACACTGTGGACATGACTCTGGTCTGGCTGCAGCCCACCCCGTCCTGTCTCCCCACCTGGTCCCATCCCCAAGCCCAGGCTCACCTCATACTTTGCAGCACCCACGCCTTTGTTCCTGTTCTCCCTGCCTTGAGTGTCTGTCTGTCCATATTTATGTGCTGAAGACCTCATCCTCCAAGGCCCCCGAAGCCTTCTCTGACAGCCCCGCTCCCAGCACCATGAGCTCACCCTTGTATGAAACCTGGTTCTGTACACATCTGGGTCCACGATTCACCCCTCCCCATGCCCTGCTCTCCTATGGTGGCTCGTCCTGTGCTCCCGTCAGGAAGAGTGTGGACAATAAAGGGAGATTCCGCATCTGAGAGATGGCTGGAGCAGAGACTGGCCTCACCAGGTCTGGTCTGGGGAGCTGGGCACAGGGGTAGGGAGCTGAAGCTGCTCAGAGATGGAAGGAAGGTATGAGAAGTGCAGAGTGAGATACATGGGGTGGTGCAGAGTGTAAGAGAGGACGAACAGGGAGTAGATGGAGGGTCTCAGTCTATTTAAGGCCAGGGTTAGGGGCTAACCTGTGTATTGGTCAGAGAAGCACTGACCTGCAGGCGTGTGTGTGTGTGTGTGTGTGTGTGTGTGTGTGCGCGCGTGTGTGTGTGCGTGTGCGTGTGTGTGTGGCAGAGTTTAGAGACCCCTGAGCCCACAGGCCAGAGTGATGCAGGGCACTGACTGCGGGGCTGAGGGTGTGTCAGCCTAAGGCCAGTGGGGTGATAGTGCCTGTGGGCACTGTGCTCTGGTCTGGGCTTGGACGGGCAAGACTGGGACTCTTGGACCCTGCCCCTCATGGCTCTGCTCTCACTGACATGGCACTGGAAGAGCTGGACTGAAGGGGAGGAGGGCAGGAGCAAAGCAGGCTCAAGGGCCACAGACCAATGAAGGGACCCTCTGGTGGAGGCAGGGCTGCTGGACCCCCCGCCCCCACTTCACCACCAGTGGGCCCAGATGCCACTCCGGACAGAGCCAGAGCAGGCCGTGTTTGCAGGCTGTGGGCAGGGGCCCCACCGCACACTCCTCTGGGTTCCTGTAGCTTGGCCTTCCTGGCCGTGGAGAGGTGATGACACAGATCTCAGGAGCTTCCCAGTGTGTGTCAACTGGGGTGGTGGGCATCATGTACAACTTTGGAGGGATGACGGTTTGGTGAAGGAAAGGCTGTGTGCACAGCGAGAAATCCATAGGAAATTTCTGGACTTCTGAGTCAGATGTGAGCTTTGAGTTTCATGCTTCTCTAGCAACTAATCCTCACTGTTCTCATTTTATAGGTAAGGACATCAAGGGGAAGGGGAAGAAGGTGGCCATAAACTGGGAGTCAGATCCAGATGGATTTGCTTAGAAGTCCAGGTTCTCAGCCATCTGGGGCATGTTTGGGGCCCGTCCGACCAATGCGTTAGGACTAGCAGACCCCGGGGTCCTTTCCAGGGCTAACCCACATCTCCTGGCTCTGGGGACCTATGCTGCAGGGACTATGAGCTGCTTATCTGGAGACCATCGGAATCCTCTGGCCAAATGGGCTCCTGGGACAGATACAGTGGCCTCACTGGTGGGTAACCCTTTTCATGGGCTGGGGAAGGCAAGACCTTGTTCGTATCCCTTCCCCCCCCCCTCCACTGGGCTCTCTGTGAGCATGCCCACAGAATCCTGAGGGTGGGCTTATTTATCCAGCTCCCTGTGGGTCTCTAGTCTCTGGAACAGGAAGACACTGAGGGTCTTTATCAGATCCCAGCCTCCCAAACCCCACTGGCCTTGCCTGCCCTGTGCACACCAGGGCCTCTGGATGTGACTTTCCAGGCACCTCTCCTTCCACTAGGCTGCACAGAGGCACCCCCACTCCCGCACCTGCCTGTGGAGTCTCACCCTGGGAGCTCCAGCTGGGAGCACCCAGAGGATACAAGTTCTCCTGTCCGTGATGAACAGGTCTCCCTACTCCGGCCCCGCGGTGAGAATTCCTACTTCTCCCCTTCCTCTCCACTGGCCAAATCCTGCCCATCAGGGGATGGGGGATTCTTGGACCCCCACCTCTTCCAGGGCTCCACCTTCCTGCCCTCTTGCCACTTGGGTTTCCAGAGCTGCCCTTGAGAAGCCCACCTCCATGTTTGGATTGGAAAATGCACCATGTCACAATCAGGCTGTCTTCCCTCACCCTCCTCAACACCACACACAAACATGGTCACCTTTCAAACGAAACACCCCAGCCGAAGGCCCAGGTGAGCAGCCCCTTTGGGGACAGAAGGGGGTGGGGAGGGGCCTAGGAGCCCCAGCTCAAAAACTCACCTTCTCTCTGTTGCTGGGGGATCATTGGAGGTGGCTGAGGAAAGGCCTGGCTTATCTGACCATAGGCAGCAGGGTAGGCGGCTGCTGGAGGGCCAAAGAGAAGAGGCGAGAGGAGAGACAGCGACAGTGACATGGAGAGAGACAGAGTGAGAGGCAGGAAGAAAGAGAGAAACTTCAGTGTTGAGCAGTAAAAGCAGACCAGCCAAAAGGGGCATTTTAGCTTAGCCACTTAAGATAAAGCAGTTCAGCAGTGTGTGTGTGTGTGTGTGTGTGCACGCGTGCATGCAGTTGGGGGAAGGCAAACTTATTCTGAAAAAATGGAGCACCCGCATTTGTGGATAATCCACAATAACGGACCATCAAAAACATTGGAGTGCCCGCACAAGATCACCCACACCACCAGGAATCCCCATTCCTTGAGCCAGGGCTGATTCTGGCACCTGTACCCTCCTCCCACTCAGATGGCACCTGTGTGGGAGGTGGGGTGCCACCCTACGTATGAGCTTGGCCTCTGGGATCCTGCCAGGGGGTGGTTCTCAGGGGCAAAGGACTCAGTTGGCCAAACTTGGTACTTTCTGGGTTCAATTGGAAAGGGTCAGAGGTGGAACAGGAATGGCCAGTCCCTGTCCCCAGCCTGGCCTGCCTCCAAAGGTACAGGATCTGAGGTCAGTGTTCAAGGGTCCCAGCAGGTGAGAGAGCTTCCCCTGACCTCCAAATGTGAGAGGCCAGCTTCACCAGAGTCCCCATATTGCCCTCAGGAGAGATATTGCTGGCTCTTTCTGACCTGGCCAGACAGCAGGAGACTGGCTGGGCAGAGATGATTATGGTGTGTGTGTGTGTGTGTGTGTGTGTGTGTGTGTGT